CATAGCAAGTAAACAAGATGTGAGCAGCTTGACTGTTTCTCTGTCAAACTCTACCAGTCAATGTTAAACCTTAATTTAGTTTGGCTGTTGGCTGAATCAAGGCATGGAGTAGATATAAACAGTGCATATGCCAGGAAGAAAGTTTAAGAACCACAATGGGCATTTCCAATTATTTTTTCCCTACAATTAAAAAAGGGATATTTAGAACACTAAGAAATATTAAGCAAACGAATGAAGCAGAGAACCAACCTACAACCAAGGAGAAATTTCCTGACAGTTAGAACAATTAATCAGTGGAACGATTTGCCTCTAGAAAAACTGGAGGTTTTAAAGAAAAAAAATGGACAACGGTTTATGTGAAGAGTTTCCTGCCTGAGCAGATGCTTGTACTAGAAGACCTCCAAGGTCCCCTCCAACTCTGTTATTCTGTTATTTCAGTGCAACAACCTATTATTAGAGTTTTGATTTAGAGATAAATTTAATAATCTGCACCTAACACAGAAGACAGTGATACCCTTTATCTTGCTTGCCAAACACTACAGCATGAGATCAGTGGCATATAGCTACATGACTGTTTCTCAATGCTTAAAGCAAATGGAGACCCATACCATGCAGCACATAGAATTATTTCTACTTGGCATATCTCCCAACTGCCCAGGCATGGCCCATGGTGAGAGATGCAGCACTGTGCAGCTCCGCAGAATCTTAGGGTCCACTGCAGTGGCTGCATATTCAGCAAACCCTTGCAAGGAGAACCAGAGGGTCATTGCTAAGCTGTAATTCATGGTTTGCAAATCACCCTGATAGGAGTGCATACATTGAACTCAGCCTTGAGGTGACTTCTGCCAGTCTGGTTTAAGCCATTAGAGCTTGTTGGATAAACCAGGTGTAGACAAGTACCGCCTTAGTATAGAAAAGGATAAATGTCATTGTCCCAATCAACACTATAGTCTTCTACTAATTTCGAGGTGGAGGTATAATCCCTAAAATAGTATTTGGCCGATAAAGAAAAAAAATCACAAACCACTGTAAAGTCAGAAGGGATGGCTTTGAGGAACCGGAAGAAGAGCTGCTACCAAGACAACAGTCACATAAAAGAGGACAGAGTCCAGAAATGGAACCTAAGCAAATGTTTCAGAGAAGACCTCCCCAAAAATAAAAAAGAGAAGAGAAAGGAAGTGCAAATTGAAAGATTCTGTTGTTGTAGCTTTGCAACAGAAATAGCAATGGAGGAGATGACCAGCCTGAGCCCAAGGGAGAGGTCAAAGGTGTCATCAGTCATGAGTCTCTTTACACCTACAAGAGGTCTAATTCCAGCCCGCCTTCTACTCTTTATCTACCGCCAATGTACTTGGGTCATTAGCAGTTCAGATTCTTGCAGATAAAGGAGGCTTGCAATAAGTCTTTACACCCATTTGAACAGCCTGGATCTCCTGATTCCCCTGGCCCTCGACAAGCAGTGACCTAATCTAATCTGCCCTGAAGGCCTGGCAACCCAAAACTGGGGGGGGGGGGGGGGATGAAAAATTCTGGTTCTTCCTGCATGCACAAGCCACTCATATCCATTTGGCGTTATTGCTAGAACCACTGCAGCCTTTGAACTCATTGAAGGTATTAAAGGTAGCCAATGGCAACCAAAAGATGTATGTTTATATAAATATTGAATTTTTATCTTTTACATTGTATAAAAAAAATACAAAACAATTATACCAAAAATGGTATTAAAGATAGCCAATGGCAACCAAAAGATGGCCTATTCCTGGTTTAGCATGGTTTGTAAATCCAGCCCCTGGGCTAGGCAAGCTTCTCCAAGTACTGTACCAACACAATTGTAATCAGGTCTATAATTTATCTTTCAGTAAGTTTCAAATGGTAACTAACCCCTTATTACAAACATAATGCGTCTACTTAGGACTATGGCATTAAAATCTACAGGGGGCACCTCCTTGCTGACTTAGGATGCTCTCCAAAGCTAAACAAGGCCAACTTTTATTGTCCTTGGATAGAGGACCACTTGGAAATCCCAGAGCTGCAAATAAGAAAGCTTCCACAAAAAACTGAGCTCCGAGAAAACTGCATAGTATTAAGCATTAACTCAAAGGCATTTTTGTCTTCTATAAAAACCAAAACAATACATGTCCCTCCATGACTGGACTCTACCGAAACATGACTATATGGGTGTTAATCATGATAAAATTAAGTCCTGTTGAAAACTAACTTTGCACAATGGGTTGCCAGAGCTCTTAAAACTATTTTAAAAAGCATTTACCTTATTGCAGGGAGCAGATATTATTCAACATCAACAATTCTTGCATTGGGGAGAATGACATCAAAGTTATTTGGACCCAAACATTATAGTACACAAACTTGTTCATTAAAAAAAAGAAAAAAGGGAAGGAGGAGAGTAGGTCTTGCTGAAAGATAGAACCTGAAATGGCCAAGGATTGCTTTATACCAAAACATGAAAAAAATTTAGGAAAAGAACAAAAAAAAGGAAAGCTTTTCAATATCACACAGGGCTAAATGGTGGGAGTCTCATTCTTCTCCTAGATAACTTAATGTTGCACTAATTTAAATGAAGGAACAAAGACTGACCCCAGACAACACAGTAACTACATTTAGTTTAATGCATGACAGCCTGCATTACATTCCTAAGTTAAATAAGATTTGATTAAGTGTGGTTTGTAGGGTCTACTGAAGTAGAACATACCAATTTAAAAGAATGTTTTCAGTAAGATGCCTGGGAGATAAAAATTTCAAAGAGTCATTAATATAAATTTTTTTTTAACACAAAACAAATTACTGGCCTAATGATATTTCTTGTTGAAGTACAGTATCTGTAACTGGAAAAGGGGGCCAAACAGTGTTGCACTCTAACTTTTGACAAAAACACAGAAGTTACACCAATGTTCCCATACACATTAGGGACAAGGGGGTCAAGGCAAACAACCATATGCTAACTCCAATACACTTGGTTCCATGCCCAAGATAGAGAGTATACTTGTTCTTTCAAGTATGACATTGTATTGGAAGACTTCCATCAACAGCTCTGTTTCTCTCTCAGCCTCTCCCCCTTCCGCCCCCAACAGTACCATCTGTGCTCTCAGGCTATGATTTCTGCATGCGACATATGTGCAGGTGGTAAATAGCACAGATCTATTTACATGTAGCACTGGATTAGGCATGCAGCTAAATTATTGCACTTCATGAAAATAAGCCATGAAGAACCACCTGAATTAGCTGTTCCTTGCTTACTAAGTTACTAAATGCTTTTGAATGGCATGCTAGCCAGCCAGCTATTAACTCAATGAGTGTAATAATGGTTGTTTTTTTGTGTAATTGCCATCTTATGCCCTCTTAGAATTATGTTCCAGTATAAATCTACCTTCCTTTAAAATAACCTATTTCTTACTGACTTGGTCATACCAATTAAAATACAACCAATGAACCCAATAATGTAAAAATTAAAATGACACCACTGAAAGGGGAAAAAATGTTTATTCCTGTAACTAACATGCCACGCTGGGAGCAGTGATTTCACCTAGCAGAGAAACAGTTCAGAAGGGGAGCATTTTCTATTCCACAAAAACCTCAGAACAGCTTCTACGGAAACCATAAATACCTAAAAACACGAGATCTCAGCTTTTAGAGGAATCCAACTCTGTAATGTTACCAGCATCCTGGGACTTTTACACTTCTGAATGCAGAAGTCCTTTTTAAGATTCCATCAGAAACCACATCAAAAGCAAAGAAAGGATGATTTATTTATTTTTTTACCACAGAATCATGTTCCAGGAAGTATGTGCTGACATGGAGGGAGGGGTCGTTTCTGTCCTTTAGCATTTTTTTTTCCAGAATGAATTTTCCAACCAGAACAATAAAGAATCCAATGCACAACGTTGGTTTTCATTTTAATACAAAAAGAAATGCATTTTTTTAAAAAATACTCCCACATACAAGTCACCTGTACTCTTACATAAGCTATCTTTTCCCACCCCTTTTTAAGGACAAAATCTCTTTCCCTCCCTATTTAGACAAAAACGAGAGGCAAAAAGGGCAGAGAGAGGGAAGAGGACCAATCTTGAACTCTGTTAAATAAAGGGATGTTTCCTCCCCAGGAATACCTGACAGAGAGCAACTAAAGCTTCAGACCAATGCAGTGGATATCAACCAGGTAGAAGGAAGAAGCTAAACGCTATTCTTTGCCTCCAAACTGGAATTGTTTTGAAGCAAACCTACAAATACACCATACTAAAAAACGAGCTGTATGTAGGAGAGGAGATTAGAGTTGCTGCTTTCTCGCTTGTTTGTGCAAATTAGTCCGGTTCTTTCAGGTTCGCTCCCCCTTTTCCCAGGGAAACTCATACACACCGGCGAATCACTCACACATACACAAACGCACACATTCTCTTCTCGCCCCAGGAAATATGATTTTCAATCAAGTCTCCACAACACCACTTCACAAGGGGAAAAGAAAAAAGAAAAAAAAATCGCGAAGGAGTTTAGGTGGGAACTGGGTTTATATTCTTTCGGCAATTACGAAACGATCAATGCCGAGGCAGGAGAGAAAGCAAGCCAGCCAGCGCTGGGCGGCAGAATCGGGAGAGTCCGAGATTTATTCGGTTAGGTTTAAAAAGAAAAAGAAAGAAGAAAAAAATTGCTTCACCCGCCGATAAACAGGACGGAAAGATCAGCATGATCTGAACAGCGGGGGGACGGGGGCGTCCCGGGTGAGAAGTGCGAGCGAGGAAAGGTACAAAAATCCTGCAACAGGTGATCGCCACTCCGCGAAGCACACAAAGGAAAACGAGCAGGCATCGCGGCCGGGCGGCGGTGGAAGAGGAGTGCGCCAAAGGCAAGGGAGTCCCGCCACGGCCGAAAGGATTCAGGCAGCTGATCCCGGGACGGGGCGGGAAGTTGCTCCAAATGCCACGGGCGCGGCACAGCCCGATGCCCGAGTCCTACCCGATGTCCCTCTCCCGAAGACGATCGCCTCTAACCTTGTAGACATTCTCGGTGACCCTGTGCACCTCTTCCGAGCGCGACATGATGGGGCCGGGAGCTCCAGGAAACACCATCGACTGGTCAGGACGCAGGGCTCCACGGAGAGCGCGGGAGAGCGACGGCCGCCACCACAGCTAAGATCCGTGGACGTTGCAGGCGAAGCGACTGGGAGAGGCGCGACGCTTTATATCGCTTCTCAGGGCCGGGCGCAGCCGCCCCCACCCCACCCCGCCCCGCCAGCAGCCGCCCCCGCCTCCACCCGCCCCCAGCTCCGCCTGCTCCGTGTTGCTCTGCCCTGGCGGTTGCCTCAAGGAGCGCCGCCTGGGAAAAAGCAGGCAGGCAGGCAGGCAGGCAGGCAGGCAGGAGGCGAAGCGGAGTCAGAGAGCGAGGGCGGGCGGACGGGAGTCAGGCAATGCCCACACGCGCACACCGCGGCGCGCCGCCCACCTTCGCCCGCCGCCCACAGCCTAGTCAGACTTCAGGCGCTCCGGCAGCTCTCTTGTGCGCCGCCTCACGCCAAGAAGTCGAAAGAAAGAAAAGAAAAGAAAAGAAAAGAAAAGAAAAGAAAAGAAGGAAGGAAGGAAGGAAGGAAGGAAGGAAGGAGGGAGGGAGGGAGGGAGAAAGAAGGAGGGAGGGAGGGAGGAAGGAAGGCGAAATCTCTCTTGACCGCCCACGAACGAGAAAGTGAGAAAGTATGCGGAACAATTTCGTCCCGTCTCTGGCGCCCTCGCGTAACAGAGGGTGAAAGAAGGTGTCGCTCCTCATGCATAATGTATACTCGGACGACTTCTGCGGAATGTTCGCGCTAAATAACCTGTGATTGCAGCCTTTTTCGCGCAACCCAGAATAGGGGCAGTCGCCCACGCCCACTCACCTACCCATCCACACTCACAGGCTGGTTGGCTTCTTAGTGTTGTACTCGGCGCAGATCTGATCCAGAGTGGATGTATACCTGAAACCTCAACGCTCTTCTAACGGCCTTGGTTGAATCCGTCCATTGCTTCACCTTGTCCAGCATTCTGTATCTAGATGGGATGGGCAATTGAATGAATATTTGGAGAACATTAATGTTTTTTCACCCTTGGCCCAGTGGCACAAGGCTTTGGTGGTCAAAGTGGGGAGGAATAGACTCGGGATCAACCCAAGGAAAATTGAGTGGTTGCAGTTATTTGAACCATCTGGCCCAGACTGTCCCTCTATTTGGAAGCATTCAACTTTGCTGGACTTGTGCATTTGTCCCAGAAAAGCAGTGTATGGCCAGGAGATCTTTGCATAAAGCTCTCTTATGCATCAATTGCACCCATTCTTGGACCTGGAGGTCCATGGCCATATACTCTACACATGGAGCTACCCATCTGAAACTGCAGCTGGTCCAGAATGCAGAAGCACAGGAAATGATGGCTATGCCACAATCATGTAATTCTTCTGCTTCATGAGCTGCAATGGTTGCCAGCTATCTGCCAGATACAAACAATTCAAAATACTGATGATCAGTATAAAACACTTCATGGCAAGGGGCTTTGGGTTATCTGAGGGACCATTTATCTCCTGTAGCTTCTGCCTGCCCTTACTGTCAAACAGAATTAGCGTGCGCTGGAGTCCCTCCATTAAACAGTTTCATCCAATGGAGTCCAGGTAGCAGCATCTCCACAAAGATCTACACTGTTCCTACCTACTTTTTCCACCAGGCAGGCCTCTTAACAGAATAGTTTATTGTACCCTATGACTATCATTAAGTGTTGTACGTTATGATTCTTGATTCTTAACTAATGTATCTTTTCTTTATGTATACTGAGAGTATTTACACCAAGACAAATTCCTTGTGTATCCAATCACATTTGGCCAATAAAGAAGTCTATGTCTTTATCTTTAGGTTGAGTGTTTTATTGCTCCTTCCTTCCTTCTTTATATTGTTTTTGACTGTTTTTAGTATTGTATACCGCCCAGAATCGTTATGGGGTCAGATGACCTAAGAGGTTTGGTAAATAAATAAATTACCCCTCTCCACAATCACTTCCCAGCATTCAGTATTACAGCAAGCTGTGATTCAAAAGGTAATAAAGAGTCATCAGCATTAATAGTCACTGATTATCTAATCTTGCGAACCTGAGCAGTCTCATCTAAACTGGCTGCTATTACTACAAGTGCTGGCAGTGAATTCCAGAATTTAACTGTGCACTGTGTAACGAAGTAATTTGCTGGTCCCATGTTTCTCTGCCTTTAATTCAGAAGCTGGTTTTGAATTATTGTGAAAGAAGAAAAACTCACAGCATCCTGCATGCTTGTCTCTCCTCACCCTGCATGCTTATTTCCTTGATTCAAGGCCAAACAGTCCTGGCTGGTGATTACTGTAGCCTTTTCTGGTGAGGGAGCTGCTATGCTCTGTTAATCAGTTTGGTTGTCATATGTGCAGCTTTTCAAATTATATAACATCATTTTGGATTGCTAACTTGAATTGCCTACGATTCTTCAAGCATGTTCTTGACACATAAATGTATTAAAACATTATTATATTGAAAGTTATACTCTCAATTTCAAACGCAGAATTGTGTTCTTTTACGGGGTTTTGTGTGCGTGCGTGTATGTTTTACAGGAGCTGCACAGTGGGTTGACTTTTTCATTGAATGGCCTACCATGAGTTGAAGATCCCTTTCCTGGCTAGTCATTACTAGCTCAGGTCTCAATAATGAAATATGGATTTTTTTTTATTCTAACATAAGTCACTGATACTTATTTACAATGAACTGCCCGTGCCATTTTGAAGTTAATTCATCACATTTGGCAAGATTCTTAACAATCCTTTTTTTTTTTATTTCATCACTTTAAGCAGGTTAGTTTCATCAAATTAAAAAGAATAGTACTAACAATAAAGTACCTCATTTTATACACACCTTACCAGTGTGAGAATTGTCCATTTATTCTTCTTTACTTGCCCAATCAATTAGATTTGATAAATGGTCAAAGGTACAAGTACAGATTAGGCAAAATCTGGCTCAAAAACAGTATCTGTGAGAGGGACTTTGGAGTCCTAGTGGATGATCACTTAATTATGAGCCAGCAGTATGCAGCAGCAACCAATTTTTTTTTAATTGGTTGCCAGCTTCCTCTGGAATCCTTGGTGAGAAACATCGTCAAAGGAGCCTTAAAAGTCTTATGTAGAAAATACTTATTGGGTTATTCTTGACTATGTACTTGTTGATTCCTTCAAGTCTAAAAGGGACGTGAGACTTGACTTACTTTTGTGGAAGCTGTTAGGTTTTTTTCACCAAGACTCCTTCTTCTACTTATATGATTGTTTTATCTTTAATATCAGCAATTTTCTCCAGATGTTAAGTTTCTTACATTGCCCCTAAATCCATTTTAAAAAATTGTGATCTCAATGGCTGTTTTCCTTTTTCAGGGATAAATGCCAAGCTTAAAAGGAAGATTCATATTTTAGCAAAAAGATCAGCGATTTCATATCTAAGTTCTTCAAAAACTCTTGGGTGAGCCTAAAGATTTATTTTTAGTTAGTTAATTTGACTTATAATTTCAGCACGCATTATCTCTATCTCAGTTTGTCCTATATTTTTCTTGAGAAAGCTGGTTCAGGCATCAGTATTTGTACTAGATCCTTAGCAATAAAGAGAGTAGAGTGAACTCATTCTTGGCACTTTTCTGGAAGTCCCTCAAAACATGTCACTAAGCATGGAAGGAAATGGAGAATTGCTGAGTTGGCTACATTGTTTTAACACCAAAGATGCTGTCTTTTAGGCTTTAAAATATATTTTTTTTTATTTTGGAACGTTTTGATGTTTGTTTTCTATGAGTTTTTTTTAATTGTACTCTGCCCAGAGTGAAATTTGTGAAACGGGAAGCTATATAAATTTGATAACTGAATGAGTGAAGAATTAGTTCCATTTCCCCAATATTTCTCTACCTTCCATCCAGTCTAGAGTAATGGTTAAGGCCCTGGACTAGGGACTAAGGAGACCCATGCTGAAGTCTATCCACACCATAAAAATTCTTAACCAGTGACTCTGGGTCACTCAGCCACTTCCAACCCAAGCTATAGTATAGAATTACAGAATAACAGAGTTGGAAGAGACCTTGAAGGATTAAGGCATGTCAATTTTTTCAACATTCAATTTCCAAACATTAGGGGTGCCCAAAAGTTGTGACATGCCTTGGGGATTGTAAAGATACTTTGGTTACTTTAACATAATTTAGAAGTGCACAGTAAGGAACTACATAAATACTGTAACTTTTTAACGTTTTGTTCGTTTCATTTGGTCTCCTAGTCCAACTCCCTGCTCAAGTGGGAAGCCCTATAACATTTCAGACAAATCATTGTCCAATCTCTTCTTAAAAATTTCCAGTGTTGGGGCATTCATAACTTCTGGAGGCAAGTTGTTCCACTGATTAATTATTCTAACTGTCAGAAAATTTCTCTTTAGTTCTAGGTTGGTTATTTCCTTGGTTGTTAGTTTCCAACTATTGCTGCTTCTCCTGCCTTCAGATGCTTTGAAGAATTGGTTGCCCCCACCACACCCTGCCTTCTTTTTGGCGGCCTCTCGGATATAAGAACATAGCTATCATGTCACCCCCTAGTCCTCCTTTTCATTAAATTAGACATACTCAATTCCTGCAACTGTTCTTTATAATGTTTTACATTTCAGTATTTTACCAGCAAACAGGGAGAAGGCTGAATTGAAAAATCAGCACCCTCCTAGGCATAATCAAGCGCTCCAAATCAATTGGCGATGTCCATTTTGCTCTCCAAATTCATGGAGACCTAACTGTACCTTAGGTGTAATGTCCTAGGAAATGTGAATAAGGCTGACTCGATTAATTGGTGCCCTCCTAAGCACAATCAAGCACCCGAATCTGTTGGTGATGCCCATTTTGGTTAGAGTTATGTCCCCATGAATACAGAGAGCAAAATGGACATCACCAATGGATTTGGAGCGCTTAATTATGCTTAGGAAGGCACCTACTTATGCAGTAAGCCTTATCCACGTTTCCTGGTAAAATACGTGGGAAAATTCCATTGGGAGGGAAAATACACCTAGGATTAAAGTCAGTGGTGGGATTCAGCCAGTTCGCCTAAACTGCTTGTTACATGTGTCTGCATTTTGGTGAATTGCCTGATCCCTCCATTTCCTGATGCCACCCCTGCCACGTCCTCCTGGCCCCTCTTT